GATGTTAAAATTACATTTTCTGATTTGTGACATAACTTTTTAAGTAATGCTAAAACACTGCTGGTCACTTTCAGAAGTTGTAGTGATTCTTTCTTTTCCAAGAAAGAATGTGAAACAAATTGGTTATATAATTTTCATTTTTAAATATTTTAAAATATAATTGAAATTGATTTTACACACTTTAAGCAATATCGTATCGCATATCGAATATCGCATTGTTATCGCATTTTTCTTCAATATCGCACAGCCCTACTACAAATGAAGATTTACAGTGAAAAAACAAAAGGTTATGATGTAAAATAAATCATAGATATTCCAAATTCCGTTTCTGGGTCACTCACTACAAGTGCACATCAAATAATTAGATTTGTGACATTGATCAAGTGGCTTAGTATAGATGGTCAGATGTTCATGTTTCCATTGAAGCTCAAGATACTCTTTGGATCATCTCAAATCATGCTGGAGAACATTTGTGCAGCTTGGCCACTGCTGCCATTAGGGCAAAACTTCACTTTTCACTTATTATAATGAATTTGTAATGAACAAAATACACGTATTTTCACTAGTGGGCTCAGACATTTTGGACACCACTCTATATAGGTGTCTTTTGCTGTAAGATGAAGGTTATATTTTTAGAAATCTCTGAGGAAAAAAAACATAATTGCTGTTGTTCTTCTCTTTTATACTTGTGTAGAGTGACTTGCAGCTGTTTGAATGTGTTAATCACCAGCTTCATTTTGTTCCAGCATGTTGATGGTGGGTGACCATGGAGGGATCTTATAGAATGAGTGTGAGAGAGCTTTGTGAGACAGATGATCTGGCCACAAGTCTGGTGCTGGATCCCTTACTGGGGTTTAGCACCCATAAGATGAACATAAGGTACTTATTATACTTGTTTTTATTGAGCTACTGCTTTATGCATGATCAACCGTTTTTATGTACGATATTTAAAGAAAAATATTTGTTTTGTTATTCTGATAGTGCCAATGTAATATGTTTGTTTTTTTGTATAGTAACGTGAAACATACACTGCTTCAAAAGTTTATGGTCAGTTTTTGAGGTTCATATTTTTGAAAAAAAGTTTCTTATGTTCACCAAGGCTGCATTAATTTGAAAAAAGAAAAGAAAAAAAAAAACGGTAATATTACAGTGTTTCCCACAGACTTGCACTCTATCAGGGGTAGGAATGTAACGATTAACTGCGAGTCGGTTGAAAATCGATTCAAATATGTGACGATTCAAATCGGTTGAGATGCTAAACAAATCGCGATTCATTTTGGGGTAGGAGTTTATATGAATGTATGTCTGAGGGGAACTTACTGTCTTTAGAAAAGTTTAGATGGTATTTTTTTTATTAATCTTGCCTCTGTATAATGCATATTAAAGTTCATAAGTGCAGCGCTCCTTTGTTTACAGCGGAAACCAAGGAAAGGGTTTAAGCGCCACCTGCTGGCAGAGAGTGCATCTGCGTCTCATTCAGCTCATCCGCTGTTTCATGCAGATATTTTTATGTGTAGTTTCACAAAACTGAAGTCAAACCATTCTGTTTTTGCTTCAAATTTCGAAATTATACAATTTAATTTAGATTAAAAACTGCTCATGTTGCATGTATGCAGAATCTTTGTTTGTATCATGATTAAAATGCAGTGGTTGCCTCTAATTTTAAATGGAAAGAGCACAGATTAAGCCTTAGCTTGTTATATGAAGAGATTTATTTTATTTGTGTTATTTATTTTATTTGGGGCTTGTTTTAAAATTTCAATTTAGTTTTGTTATTTACATTTACATTATATTTAAATTGTGTTATTTAGCAGACGATTTTATCCAAAGCGACTTACAAATGAGGACAATAGAAGCAATCAAAACCAACAAAAAAGCAATAATATGCAAGTGCTATATTAGTATATTATTATAGTGTTATATTTCAATTTCACAAAGAAATGTGCAGCATTTTGTCCAAGCAATAATAAAAGGACATGCACATTTAATTTATAATTTGTCTTAAATCTCATTTAGTAAAAAAATCAAATAAAATCGTGAATCGAATCGAATCGTGAAATCAAAATCGTGAATCGAATCGAATCGTGAGTTGAGTGAATCGTTACATCCCTAATCAGGGGCGAGGCCAGAAATGTTTAAGTGGTTGAGCCTACATAAAACAGGGTGGGCAAAGTGTAGCATATGAAAACTGCATGTCAAATTGCCAACAGAAAATACAGCACGAAGGTACAATACCCAATACTTCTAAAGCATTGATTAATAAAACATTTTTTTGACAAGCGTATGGTATGCGCCTATAGGAAGAGGGAAAATGAAGAAACTGCCTGTAATTAACCATGAAAACTAGCGGTTAATATTTTTTAAAAACTAGATATATAAAGTTACAGTGAAATAAGATGTTGATTATTATTATTATTATTATCGTTTAATAAATTATATCCATTTGGAAAATTACCAACTTCTCATTGGGTGGGCCACAGTTCAAAGTGGGTGGGCCCATCCATAGCTTCGCCACTGCACTCTATGTGTGGCGGCACTTCCCCAGGGGGAAATATATATATATATATATATATATATATACACACACACACCGGTTCACATTTACAACTCTGCTCTGCGTGTTTGCTGTGTGAAAACAGTCGATTTTCATGTTGGTTTGAATGGGCTAATTAAAACTGCAAATTCATTCTCTGCCAGCAGGAGGCGGTTTTGGAGAGACAGAAATAGCGGTTTCCTCGGTAACAGCTGTAATTAAAGCTGCGCTGCTCATGAACACTACTTTATCAGGCATTATAGGAAAGATGAAATGAAAATGACATCCAAGCTTTTCTGAAGACGGTCGGTTATCTTCAAAGATGCATTGAAATAAAAACACCTGCCCCGTGTTTTGATTTTGAAATGTGCAGAGCTCATGTTTATTCAACGTCAAAGACTTTAGGAAAATCTATTTGTGGCAGGCAATTTTGATATTGTGGCGGGCCGCCACAAATTAATCAGTGTATGGGAAACACTTATGAAAAATTATTACCATTCGTAGTTTTTTAATGTATATAATTTTATAATATATTTAAAAATGTACTTCATTACTGTGATGGCAAAGCTGATATTTCATCAGCTATTACTCCAGTCTTCAGTGTCACATGATCATTCAGATATCATTCATATGCTGATTTGGTGCTTAAGAAACATTTTATAATAATAATAATAACAATTATTATTATTACTGCTACTACTGTTATTATTATTTATGTTAAAAACAGTTTCCTTTTTTTTTTGGAAACCACTCTTTGATGAATAGAAAGTTCAAAAGAACAGCATTTAATTGAAATGGAAGTTGTTTGTTACAATATAAATGTCTTTACTGTCACTTTTGATCAGTTTAATGTGACATTGCTAAAATAAAAGTATTAATTTCTTTAAAAAAAAAGTCTTATTGACTCCAGACTTTTGAACTGTATTGTAAATGATTTCTTCCATTCATAATTTGTAATTTTTTTTATTTCTTTCATTATGTGAATGAAGTCCTCCCCCTGAGATCCGGCGATGGGGTTACCTCAGAGGGACACTTCTGCGCTTCAAACGCACACATGACTTCCAGGCCACCTTTGATGCCCTGTTGGATGGGGAATGGGTCAGTGGCTATTTCACCGGGCTGGGTTCACACCGACAGGAGTTATTAAAGCAGCATGTGAGTATCATATCCAGAATTGCTGAATGTCCATTTTTGCAGTTTGTAAACATGTGTAATCATCATTCATCACCAAAGAGGAATGTAAGAATGCTTGAATTGTTTAGAATGAGTAGCTGTTGTTGTGTCTAGTGTAGTGAAGATGGTTTGCCTTTTTTCAGCATATTTGTCTACATGTTTGTCTTTGCTAGATCAGTTATTTGCCTTCATGATGAGTACAGTCTCTCTGCACATAAGGACTGCACTAGACCAAAAACATTGTTGGCCTTACATAGACAAGGGCAGGGAAAATATAGATTTTTGTGATTAATTGAAATCTTTCTTTCAACAATCCCGAGCCTGTTTCTTGAACTGAATATGCTTAAATGGTCCAAATGAATCTTTTACTTGTATTAAAGACAAGCACAGCATATTACTTGACATGAAGTAATATAATTAATGTATATGGCAGTGTGCTTAAACTATTTTAACTTACTCATCTGTTTTCTTTAGATGTATCGCTATATGACAGCATTTCTGTTGGACAGTGGAGTGAATATTGAGCCATGTAACCGCTATTCTTCTGAAACGAATGGAGCCAAAATCACATCCACCCGACACTGGTTAGAATCATTGTTTTGTTTTTGTTTTTTAAATCTTAAATTAAAAATCAGCATTTTAACTGTATGTTAATTATTTAATCCTAACACATAATAAACTGATCTCCTTATTTAAATTCTGTTAATCACCATATTTAAGGATATAAAAATGTTGAATTCTCCAGGCTTGTGGGAGAACGGGTGGAGGTACTGCAGGGCTGTATAGCTGAGCTGAGCCCTGAGGATAGTGCCGTCCTCAGAGCAGGAGTGAATGACTTCAGCGTCATGTACTCTATGCGCAAGAGATGTGCGCAGCTTTGGTTGGGGCCGGCTGCCTTCATCAATCATGGTGAGAGAGCCCATATGCATATACTGATCAGTAATATTCTTTTTCAAAATTTGTTCTGTGGTAAGGTACAGGATCTGATTGTGCTTTTTTTTTTTCCTTTCATTTTTATTGTTGGGAGAAGACTGCAGACCCAACTGTAAGGTAAGATACTATATTATTAGTTTTGCTTTAGTGGGGAATCTTTTGAATTGCTTAGCTTTTCAAAGACCCTGTATATCTGTAGTGTATCTTGCAGCCTAAATGTACAATTATATACAGTTGATTTGTTAGACTTGTCTGTAAAGTTTGTTTAACTAGGTCTTGCTAGATCTGATAGAAGTGATTAAGGAGCTTTGCTTTCAGTTTTCATGTTTGTATTCACTCTATAATGTATAAAAATATTCCAGTTTTTCTGTAGTACAAATTAGCGATTCGACATCTGCACGCAGTCGACTGATGCGTGGATGCGTTGAGATGTGCTTAGGGTATTTGGTATCGCGTATCTGCGTGTGATGCACTTCTTGGTCAAATCCCCATCTTATCTTGACAAGAATCTGGTATATCACAGTAGATCTGTGCAAGTGGTGAAATGCAGTCTAATAGACCTGTCACTGTCTGTTATGGCTTTAATAATTATCAAACGGCAGTATTGACAAGATAAAGATGACAACCATTTACTGCTTGTGTGGATCGCTTTAGTGGCTTTAATAAGCCTTTTAAGAACACTTGGTTTTGTTTCTTGTCGTTTGTTTTTTGTTGTTCATGTAGTTTAAAAACACTTGAAGACAATTTTTACTATTGTTTTATTTATTTAAATAGTAAAGAGTGTGCTCAATAAAACAGTTTTTGCTATGGTATCAAAATTTTAAGAATTATGACATTTCGTATTGGTATGAATTACTGAACTTTTGGTATCATGTCAACCCGACCAATGATAATGCAAGCAGAAGTGATTACTTGGAAATTGGTGTTTGTTCTTTGAGACACGTGGTAAGATAAACTTAAGACAATGTGCTGTTGTAAAGGGAAGAGAAAAAAAAAGTATACTGCTAAAGGGCACTGTTGCAGACATGAACATTTCTCCTGTGTCTGTTTTCTTTTATGCATATGCACATATTCTAATCGGGTTGTGTTAACTTAAAGCACTGACAGATCATTTCACACACTGTTGATTATTTTTTACATATAAATAAATAAACATGTAAACCTAGCTCATATTTTCTCTCTCTGTGTATTTATTTTTACTATTAAGTCTGGGTCATTGTAGTCCTAAATGTAAATACACAGACATATATAGAAAACAAATACACTACTGTTCAAAGATTTGGAGTCTTTTTTTTTTTTTTTTTTTAGCAAAGATGCGTCAAATTGATAAAAGTGACAGTAAAGGCATTTATTATGTTACAAAAGATTTCAGTCTTATTTGAAGAATCCTGAATTAAAGGTTTTTATGTTTTCATATTAACAAATTAAGCAGCAAAACTGTTTTTCAACATTGACAATAATAAGAAATGTTTCTTGAGCACCAATTCAGCATAATAGAATGATTTCTGTAGGATAATATGACTCTGAAGACTGGTGTAATGACTGCTGAAAATTCAACTATTACAGGAAAAAAATACATTTTAAAATTGATTAAAATAGAATAGTTTTTTAAAATTGTAATAATACTTCACAGTATTACTGTTTTACTGTATTTATCTTTGAATACAGTCTGGGTGACTTCAGACTTCAAAAACATTTTAAAAAGTCATACTGACTTCAAACTTTTGAACCGTAGTTTATATGTAAATTAATGTTAACTCACATATGGCAAGACATACAGTACTATTTTAAAATGTGCAAATGTTTCACTTTTAGTGTGTATTAGCCATTTGATCGTTTTTAAAATGTATTTATTTTATTTTATTTTTATTTATTTTATCTGACTTTAGTCCTAACATGGCAACACCCTTTTTTTTTAAATTACATTTCCTTAATTTGTTTTCACTTGTTTCCTGGCATATGACTAAATGGATTATAGTCAAACAGTGTATACTGAAAAGTAATTTGCTCATACTGTTTCTGTTCCTCCTATTAGTTTGTCCCTGGAGATAAGAATGGAGCTTGTGTAAAAGTGGTGCGGCCCATCTCGCCGGGGGAAGAGATTACCTGTTACTATGGGGACAGCTTTTTTGGGGAGAATAATGAAATGTGTGAATGTTGCACATGTGAGAGGTGAGAGAATATACGTTAATACTGCTTCAAGGCCACCTGCTTTTGATATTATAGTGATGTTGGAAATGTAATGCACAATTATCTCAATGGATGCTTGTAATTGGTCTGAACTGTATTAGGGTTTAATGTCAATTAGGTTTCTAATGACAGAAATGCATTTAAAAGCCTTTTAAATCTGCTTTTATCACAACTAATTATGCCAATCTATGCAGGAGAGGAGAGGGATCATTTAAGAAGAGAGACCAGTCACCAGATGTGGCTTGCTCCGTGGATCCTTCAGGACAGAAATATGAGTTCAGAGAGACCGACCTAAGGCTTAACAGGAATAGGGGAAATGGCACCCCAAAGCCGCTTCTCACTGTATCAAACTCAGGTATGCTTGTTCTACCATTAATATTTAGTTATTTTCTTATTACTTGTGTCCTGGAGTAAAATGTGTATGTTCTGAATTTAAAATTACAAAGGCTGTAATTAAGCATCCCATGCAATTTCCTAATAAAGTGGTGAAAAACCTGTATTATTATAATTTCATTACTGCCGATCACTTAACTCTGGTCTATTCTTCTTGTCTCATTCTCTTGTCAGCCTTGCCAATGAGGAATACATTTTCCCAACGGACAAAGAGGAACGCCCTTGTTTTGAGCAAGATGAGAAAGACTGATAGGTGGCGGAGGGAGGAGCAATGCAAACAGGTAGAAAAGAGAACACAAAACCTCTTATCATCTTTGCCTCACCTCGAGCTAAAGGAGCTGAGCATCTGCCTCTATCAGCACAGCACAAATTTCCTATTAAGCTGTAAAGACCCCTTGAGCAAAGAAAGGGCCCTGCTATACCTAATTGAGAAAGAGCGACCAAAACCAGAGAGGATCACAAGGAACAGCAAATCTGTCTCTCCACCACTCAGTAGTGCTAACATAAATGGACCGGAGGAGAGAAAAGATGAGGATGGAGAAATGTTAAATGAAGACTCTGTCATTAGATTTAAACCCTTTACTCTTGGATGTGTTTCCAGTGTACATGAAAGAGACAGCATGAAGGCCAAGGGACGTAACATTGATGCATCATCTGTCAGAATTGTCCACCAGGGCATTTCCTCAAGGACCAGGAATATTCTTCGTAGTCGTCTGAGCAGTCTCCAAGCAAGGAGTCGATCTAAGCTCCCCAGATTCAACAAAAGGAGGACCAGACTGATCAAATCGAACTCTAAACTCTCTACAGGGCAAAATGAATGCTCTGACTCTCAGACACAAGATGGGAAGCAGCAAAAAGGAAGTGAGGTTGAGTCCAAGGACAATACTAACCCTGTTTTAATCTCTCCAGGTAAACCATGTACTGATAAATGTGTACACATTGACGGAGACACTGGAACTAACAGTGACAAATCATCACAAACAGAGAGCACGGTGATCAGAGAGACGCAGCAGAGAGTCTTTAGGGATTGCCTCAGGGAAGTGGCTGGTGACGGGAGACACATCAGCGGTTCCATTGCTCCTAGGGCAGGTGATGTTAGTTCTTGTGTAGCTTCAGAGACCTCAGGGGATAACAAGCAAAACCACAGGCAGTCTGACTCTTCTAGTGCTGTAAGCGTTACACCCTCCTTGTCTTCACCATCTCTTAATAGTCCTGTCTCTCTCCTCTCAGGGTTAAATCGTTACCTCAGAGTCAGTCTGGTACGGGTGGCTATCCCAGGAAAGCCAGAGGTTGAAAGAACAGGTCAGAGGGAGGCAGACAGTACAAGAGACAAGGTTACAGCACCAGCAGCAGCGTCAGTACAGCAGAGCACAAAATTTAATGGGAGCAAAGAAAGCAATATTCAAGGTAAGAAAGGGGTGAAGGAGTTGTATTTCACACCAGTAAATATGGAGAGTGCAGAAAAGTACTTAAAAGTAACATGCGATTTAGAGACTGGCAAAAATGCAGTCACACAACCTGTTGTGAAAGAACTTGTGGATGTGTATGGTAAGGATAGCCACAGTGAGTATGAAATTGAAGGTAAGCAAGATGATAAAGTTGTAACAGTCACATCTGTTGAAGTCACAATTCCCAAAAATTCAGAAAATGCTGTAAAGAAACGGAAAGGAGCAGACAAGGATAAGAAACAAAAACATGTTGAGAGCGTACCTAAGGTGCAAGATAAAGAAAGCAGCATCAAGAAGCAGGAAGAAGTAATTGTTGAAGGAAATTACTTGAAAAAGAAAGTGTTAACAGCAAGTTTTGGTAGCAGGACTGTTGTTGTTAAAGAGGCAAGGGTACTGCTGATGGATATTAGAAAGTGTTTGAGTTGCAAGTTTAGTCAACAAGATAAAGATGCTAATGACCACCAACCTCTGTGCAGTTACAGTGGTATAGGAGAAGCTGATAATATGAAGACACTATTACTTGCTGACAATAAAGAGACAAAGGACAAGCATGATGCACTTAATAACAAAAATGAGCACCCTAATCAAGGACTCACGGCAGCTGATCAGCCAAATATATATGAAGATACTCAAGAGAAACAGTCAGAAAGCGCTTTGATTTCCTCAGAACCCCCATCCATGTGCATGGTTTCTCTGGATCATAGTCCCCAGAGCAGCATTCCCCTAAAGAAACGGGCATTTCGAGAATCGCTTGATACAGACCCAGAACAGGATGTTAATGTACCTGCAACACCGTGTACTGATGGCAGTAAAGGCAAAGAACCCAACTCGGACAATCTGTTACCTAAGCCAAGCGAAAGCAGCAGTGTGGATACAACATTAATGAAATGTTCAATACCAGAATCAAGTTTAACTTTCAAAGACAATGTTTGCATTGGGTCCAAAAAGCGTGGCTCATCCAAGTTGATAAAGACTTCGGCTAAACAATACTGTAAAGGTCTTCAGAGTACTCATCGTGGACCAGGGAAAAACAGTGTCAGAGTTCCTGAATACAGGGATAGCACGAGTAAAGTACATGTTTGTGAGAGGACAATCAATGACCCTAAGAGTGAAATTACAGAAGCAGTCAAATGCAATATGGGTGAGGAGAACCAAGTGAAAAGTGACAAAGGATTAGGAGGAGGAAATAAAGGACCAGGGGACTGTGAGATCACGGATAATATTGAACATGCCATTAAGGATGAGTGGTCTACCTCAGATGATTTGGATAAGACGGAAGAAGAGCAGAGGTTAAACGTCAGAATCCGCCTTAAGAGGAAAAGGGGAAAGGAGTGGGCAATGGAGTGTACGGATGAGGCAAAAAGTGTTGTGGACAAGTCAAGCCCACAGCAATGCTTGGCTTTAGTTGACCCTTTTAGTGCCATTTTGGATACTGTCTCGATTTTAAATTCAGAAATGGAGAGGATTCGGGGTCATGGGGAGGCCGATAATGGTGTAGGTTTAGAGAAAGCCACCAAAGCAGTTCAAGACGTCCTAGAACATTGCAGAAAAGAATGCGCAGCTAAGCCATGTAAAAGACAACAAAAAGTATCAGCTGTTCACATTAACAAAAACGTTAGTACACCAAACGAAATTGTTCAAGACAGTAGTGATGTTACTGACAAGCAGGTACAACAAAAATCATCTAGTCCAAAAACTGAGGCGGACATTGATGACATTAAACCATTACCTCTGATTAGATTGTGCAGGAGAGCTGAAGGCAAGTGGGAGGTGGAGTGGAAAGAAGCTCAAAATGAAGATGGGAGCACTGATACTTTGCACAGGGAGCCAAAGAAATTAACATCTGTCTTTTCTACAGCAGCAATAGTAGAACAGATGCCTCTCGGCAAAGTTAAAGAGGAAAACCCGTCTCAATGCCAGCAACTAATGGCGGGGCGTAGTTGTACCTTCAGAGATCCACTGAGTTTTGAGACTTCACCCTTACCAATATCCCTTTCACCTTTGTCACTTTACTCTCCCTGTTATGATGGGCTGGCAGGAGTTAGTAATGTCAGTGGGAGTATTCAAGCAAAAGACAATGTAAGGGAGCATGTGTCAGACAGTCTCGATAGTTTTAAGATTGGTGTTATTAGAACTGACAACAAAGGAAGGGATGACATTTGCTTGAGCCACAATTTGTTTCAGATTAATAAAAGTCTGTCAAAACTCCAGGCTATGAGCCAGTCACAGGTATGTGAGAAAAGTGTGCCCACTAACACCAGTGTAACCTCTTCTCAGGTTCAGTCTCCTTCCATTTCTCCCTTTACCACGGAGTGTAGCTTTAGTAACTATTCTGAAGATGTGCTTGACTTTCCATGTTTAAATCTCGAAAGCTATGATCAGATGCCTGCACAAAACAACTTGGCAAGCTCTTTAATAGATTACTGTCCTGGTGAACCACATAACACCGGGTCCTTCAGCAGCCCCTTCTCTCAAAGTCCCACTGATGCATGGAATCCGGAGACCCCTTACCTAGGATCGCCAAGCCCAGTGAGTAACTTTAGTAGTGGTGAGGAGCTATGTTTCCCGGATATTGTGTTTGCTCAGTCTGACACATCCTCATCTATTGGTGCATCTCAACTGCTCTTCAAAGATAAGCTGTGTAATACAGCCACAAGTTCTGCTCCACTTCAAGACCCTGAGAAAGATCTGTACTTGTCTGATGGCGAGTTGTCCAAAACTCCCATAGAGCTCCAGGTCCAGGAAGATTCAGCAACACAGTTTCTCCCCAAAGACTTGACAATGTTTAACAATGCATCTACAAGTGCTAAACAGCCTGGGCACTCAACTGTGCGAATTCATCCTCAGGATAAAAAGTTACACTTTCTTGATTCCATTATTAACACAAAGTCCTCGGAGTCATACCTTGCTAAAATTGACATTAAAGACAAAATTCATGGACCTCTCAATTTGCATAGCTCAAAAGCTAAATCCGAATCTGTCTTTCCAAACCTGTCAACACAAAGTCTGCATGGTGCCGGACCTCACAGTAACCTTGTTACACCCTTCCATTCACTTCACGTAGGAAATAAGTCAACCTCACTTGCTGATTATCCAGGTGCATTCAATTCTGGTAATGCACTTTTTCGTAGCAGTGACAAGAAGCTTCCTTTTTTTCCAAACCCCAAGAATGTCTCGAAAACCGAGGAAGGCCAGAATGCTTGTCGAATTTCTGTGGCTGCAGGCAGCTCGAAATCCCACAACAACATGGAAAGCATCTATGCTTGTCCGGGTCCATCAAGTTCTCACAGTGGAAAAGAGTCTTCTGCTAGATGTCCTAATGCTGAGTTCTCAAGATTGGCTGAAAATCTGCAAAAAAAAACAAAGAACATCCCGTACCCTGCTAATCCTGGTCAGCAAGGTGATCGTATTCACCCAGTTTATTTCATCAGCTCTAGCAAAACCACAACAAACGTCTTCAAGAACATAAAGCCCCAGATCACAAGGAATGATAAAGATCCATGCCTGCCCTCCACGTATTTATTTTCCTCATCCCAAGGTTCTCAGTGTTACAGTACAACACAAAGCAAACCCTCAAGATTGGAAAAACCTCATGCTGTTGTGGCTCCCACTCAAAACACTCAACTTTCTGGAGTGTCTTCTATCCAGCCCAATAAGGATCAGATGTGTTCAAACATCTCTCACTGTGATTCTTCTGCTTTCAACTTCAGCTCCTCGCTTTCACCTCCTGCATCGCAGCACAGCAGTCCTCATCTGGGATACAGAGAATCCTCAGTCCCTGAGGTCCCTTTGTTTAAAACTCAGTCAACCACCTTTGAACACGGTCAACCTCCTCACCAGTCTTACGTAGTGAACTTCACCGGAGATCATTCTGTGACTCTGGGGTACAGTGAGGATGGTGGAAGCTTGAATTATACTGGTTCAGGACCTGCAAATTACACTTACCATTGTCTTATGGAGCCTTCGGGAACTCAAGGAAGGCTGGTTGTAGAAGCATGTGGTCCCTCAAACTTCTCACCTTCTCCCTCTGCGAGTAGGTTTGCAGGGTCTAAAGTCCACGGAGGCCAAGTCAGTAGAGATCAGCAGCATCAGGGGACTGGAACTCACCCATGTAATTCTCTACACTTCTCCACCTCCCACTCGCAAAGCACTCCCATAACAGATCGCAAGCCTAAGAGACTTAGGCTTGTGGTGACTGATGGTACAGTGGATCTGGACCTTCAATATACTGATTAATAACGACCAATTGTCGTTAATATGCTGAGACTTTATTTATTTTAAAAACTTCAATGTAAGATGTTCTTTTTGTTTTTATTACACTGAAAACTAAATTTACGAATTTATGTAAAATGTCCTGTTCTTAGCATCAAAACAGTTTTCTTTAAATATTTAAAGACATATTTTTTATTAGCACACTTGCCTAATTATTTGCTACATGATGAATTTTGTCTAGTACGTTATTATAGAAGATAATATTTTCATGCTAGTGGTTTCTGTATTAAAACAGAGGAAAATAGATATTCTGTTGGTCCTGTAATACATAAGACTTGCCACATGATGGGGATGTTGTTCTCCGCAATGTGGAAATTCTCTCTATTTCCTCCTAGCCTTTTCAGTTCAGAGTTAGCAGTCTAGATTGCAGTTGTTAAAAGAACATGCGACCGATCGATCATATGCGAGAAAAATAAGCTTGGCTGGCAACTTGCACAGCTTAGTGGGTTAGCACATGAAGGACCAGAGCAAGGATCATGTGCTTTTAATTTAGGGTTTAACTGCCCATCTGGCAAGTTGAATAAGAGTGCACCACTGACTGCACAAATATTTGTGCAACATATGACAAACACATACTTTGAGCAGCTGTCAGGTGTCCTGTATTTGGTTTAGGGGATTCATACATGTCATAAAAGAACCGTAGCAGCTGCTACATTAAATGCATACAAATCACAGAAATTTCAGCATCTTTACCAACTGTGATGTCATTTATTTGAATAGCATCCCATCTTTTCCACACAAATCACACACACTTTTCAAGCACAAATGTGTTTTGGCATTGGATGCCTTTTTGTTTTTTTTAACACCAAGCATTTGTCTATATTAGATTCATGGGGTTTTGTATCATATTGGGTATTGCTTTGGTACTTTGGGCCAATGCATAATTAATTCGTTACCACTTGTATTACTCTAGAGAGATGTTTAGTGCCCTTTGGAGCTGATCCTTAATCAGACTCACTTAACATTTATAGAATATTGTTACTATAATGTACTGTAGTCCTGTAGGTCACCAAGACACAAAGCCTGACATCATCTCCGAACGTATATTGTGTGTGTGGTTTTTTTTTATATCCTCCCCAGTACATGTCAGATATGGAATGCGTTTGTTGGGTTCTTATTTTTAACAGGTGCAGACCTGAGAGAGCACTGGGCTGTCCTACATGTTTATGACGTAGTTGTGTTAAGCCTTGCCTTGGTCTATAAAAAGCCAGTGTATTAATTATATTTATTTTAATATGTTCTTAACATGGTGCTTCAATATAACTTAATTTTTTGATTGTACTGAACTTAATGTATATTACAGTTTTTTTAATATCTACAATTCAGATGTCTTTTTTCCGGTATGTCTTGTATGGCCATCCTGTTTGTTACTTAGGACATTTGAGATACATTTTAAATTGTAATGTTCAACTGTAAAATTGTAAAAAATGAAATTAATGCAATTAAAATTAAATGATTTTAACTGAATGTTCATGGTATTTTAGCATGCTGAAATATAACATCTGTCTGTCTGTCTATCTATCTATCCTTGAAAAGAATATTTCTTTTGGAAAGGGCATTTCTTTTTTAATTCTTATTGATATATTATTGTGATATATTATTAATATATTGATTAGGCCTTGATTAGTTTTATTAGGAGATGAATCTTACTGAAGAGTCTATAACAGGGATCCTCAAATCTGGCCCACGAGATCCACTTTCCTGCAGAGTTTAGCTCTAACCCTAATCAAACACACCTGAGCAAGCTAATCAGTGTCTTCAGGATCATACGAAAATCACAGGTAGGTGAGCTTGATCAGGGTTAGAGCTAAACTCTGCAGCGCATTGGCCCTCCAGGGCAAGATTTGAGGAACCCTGGTCTATAATGATGATATGATATAGCACTTTATTGTCAAGACGAGTCTGAAATGTTTCTTGCATGACAGTATCTATGTTTACAGCAATCAACATCCTTTAAACAACATGCACTTCGTCCACACAAGAACAAAACACATTATACATTACACTCCCTTAAACATTACATTATACCTTACCCTCCTACTACACTTATACAACTACACCATGTTCACAATACTCTTAATTTTTGATTAAGTGCCTTATTCAACTCTAGGATCGCCTGATGCACAAAAGAGTGTTTCAGCCTAACTTTGTTGAATCTTGGGACTCAGAAACTATATTACTAGCCAGTCTTAACAAATTATTATAATAAGCTGAATCATATAGCTTCTCAATACATAATATGTATTTCCTTTTTTGATGAAGCTGATGAAGCCATTTAAGCTTCATGCGTGTTCTCAAAGAGCACTGCCAGGTATTTCTTCAAGGTTATGGGTCTTGCTGGTATTTTCTGATTTGGCCTAATTGCTGCAAAGACTATATAAATGATTAGCCATATAAGGGAACATAAAATTACTATGCATATCATCTACTCTCAAACACATACAAATGCATAAGCATTATGTATATGTTTGCACATTTAAGGTTTGCATCTTTATCTTAAGCACTGTCTTTTATCAGTCACTGCAGCTCATTCAAATTTAACCTGTCACTAAGCCTCTTTTTGTGCCCTCCCTTCTTTTTTATCTTATTCTGTTTGTTTGCACTGTCTTTACGTGCATTTTTTTAAATATGCACTTTATTTTTCTGCTTTCCTAATAGCTTACATCTCAATGTTTTGATGTTTTTCCTCCTTTTTGTTTTAGCCATCTTCCTCCAAGCTATTTGGCTGTCTACATTCCAGTTTTGCTTTTTACCTTTGACTCTTATCTTTGGCCTTTTTTAAAAACAGGACCTTATTTGTTTATTCATTTCTATACATAGTTTCACCCAGCTGCCTCTGTTACAGTACTTCTGGTTCTTCCTCATCCCTCAATCCTTCTTTCAACCCTTTGTCCACTTCCTTTCTGATTCTTAGTGCCTGTTCATCCCCTTTCCCCATTCATGACCCATTTTCTCTTCTCTCAACAGTGAGCAGAGGGTTAACTCTGAAGCCAAGTGGAACAGCTTTTTTCATAAGGAGGACACAGGCAGCAAGGCAGTGGATAGAAAGTGAGGCGGAGAAAGGCTGAACCTTTGAGGCACTGCGGAAAACACTGTAGGACCCCAAAACATTGCTGTATCACTTTGACTTCCTTTGCGCAGACTTAACAATTCTTTAACCCGGTCTCCAGTTAACTGTTAAAGCAGGTGACGAAAGACCTCAAAATGCAATTCAAGCTGTCGACTCAGATCTGGTGACCCAAGGTTTTGCTTCTTTTGAAGACTGCCTTTCTCACTGGCAGATATTACAGGCGGATTTATGCCACAAAAGAGATATACAGTAGCATCCTCCATTTTGTAGTGCTTCAGTGTGAGACAGGCACTAGCCCGTTTGATTCATCTGTGTTTTCTTCTCTTTTTGAATTATTCAGCAATCCTTTCCTACACCGAACCATCCTTTCTCCCTCCCTCCCACCTTCCTGTACACGTAATGTTACTAAACATTTACAGTTTAAAATGGAAAAATTTACCTTTCCATCTGTTCCCTCATGGTAACTCCAATCCTTATCTCTCCATCCCTGTTTCATGCTTGTTCTGGCAATGAAAATGAAATCTTTAAAATAGAGCCATTAAAAGATGTTTAATTGTTACGTGATTTATATTTTGAAATGAGTCGATCAGAATCTTATTCCTTTATTTAAAGGGGTCATAGGATGCCCATTTTCCACAAGTTGATATGATTCTTTAGGGCCTTAATGAAAAGTCTATAC